GCTGAAGATGCACCTGTTGCAATATGAAGATAATTATAGTACTTATTTCTGTAAATTTAGATGTTGTTAAATAGAGTGTGATCTTTTGGTCACAGCATTGGGATTCAAGTCTGATTCACATCACAGATTATTTATGACAAATAGGGTAAAGTGTTCGTTTCTCTTTTGTCTCAATTTGTCCATCTCTGAAATGAAGATTGTAACTCTTCTTCATGTTGGTGTAAGTGAAGGCTCAGGCAATAAACTGAACTGAGCAAAGCGAGAATCTATTTTTTCTCTCTATGACATGATACAGTAGAATGGGTAATATTTATTAAACTCACAGAGGATTAAAGGTTGCATCTTGTTGTGGCTTAAAATGTTCACAAAATTTCATGAAAATAATACAAAATGTTCCACTAGCAATTTGTTTTGAAAGTGGCAGCAAATGTATATTAGATAAGGATAGGAAGCACAGTACTTTCTTTTTCAAACTAATACAGAAAACATACACTTCCCACAACAAAACTACAGTTTAAAAAGTAGAATGGAGAGCTGATCATGCTGTAAATCTGTAAGGAAATCTGGCTATGCGACACATAGATATTTCTAAAACAAACATCCGCAAAAAACTTGTTCACAGCATCTAGAAATTGTCATTGATCAGAAAGATGGCAAGAAGCAACAGATGAGGGAGCTGGTAGATTGACAAGAAGATAAAAATTCCCATTCCAGCAATGTCTGCTTATCACATAGCTCAGATGTGTGGTATTCATAATCTATTCTGAAGAATAGAAGGTTAAAACATCAACAAAATCCGAATGTATTCAATCAACAAAGAGACCACATTAGTAAGTTCCTAGCAAGTTTTACTGCACATTTTCTTTTTTTCTCAGATTATTGCACAGAGTTTATGGAAAGTTACCTGTTTTTGGCTCCACAGAAAAGTAAGGTTGTCCTTGCAATATGCTGTAAACCACTCGAGCACTGTTGCCGTAAGTAGGATCATCTGCATCAGTGGCTGTCACTTGAACCACAGAGGTGCCTGCAAAATGTTTAAGGGACTATTGTACATAAACTTACTATTGTACTACACTTATTCAATGTGCTGTACCAATATATGTCTGGAACAATGTGAGGTGGCTTTTTTACAACTCTTCATCATTCCCATGCACATTCAGCTTAGAGTATAAGGTCGTCTTTGTAAACCAGAAGAATCAGCTATTACAGAGTTCTGTCTTCCCAAATATTCTCACTCTTTGACTCACAGCAATAAAAATCATCTCATTCTGTAGCCTTCTCTATCTGTCTTTAGCTGGTGGAGGGTATGTGAACAATATTTCTTACATGATGGTGATGCCTGACTTATGCTGAAGTATGAAATACAGTAATAGTTTCCCTTTGAAGTCTGCATGCTAAAATTGTAATGAGTGGTTAGAGATTCAAATATGCATACATATATAAGTATTATATATTCTGATAATTCTACACATGCATGCATAAAAAATTAATTTTAGCCTATAAAATTATTTATAAGAGATAGACGAAGAGTTTATGTTTCAGCTCAGACAAAAGTAATGTCTCTGTTGAAAGGAATAAGAAAGCAAAACGTCTAACTGGTTAACAAGAAAGGTACATTTTGTGAGGATCTCATGCTGCATCCAGCTCCTATTCGTTATGTTCCCCACATCAGTTCCCATTTGTTTTGTTCTGTACAACAGCTTCCATGATGTATGCTGAGCGCAGAATAAAACAAAACTTGGGAGTCAGGGCCTTGGCCATGGTCACCACCCTTTGATAGCCAGAAAGAATTATTTTTTCTCACTGGCAGATTTTCTGGAACATCAAGACCTTCCATTCAACAGCCCAGGGAACCATTTGGAGGTAAGGTTGCAAATTAATATTGTAAGAATTTGGCAGATGCCCAGCAAAGGTCTTCAACAGAGGATCAGATTCCTTCATAAACTGGATTTAGACACAGATTAGAGAAAGGCATTTGTTAAAGAGAGTGTTCATTTTCCAAATAAACACATTTTTGACATGTGAAAATAAGAGCAGCAAGTCTAGAAATCATTCTTTAAGAACAACCTGCAATAGCAAGTGTCCAGAGTGAACTTAACATAAATTGTATTCTGGTCAGTTTTATTCAGACTTCTTCAGAAATGGATGGGAGAAAGTTCTGAAATTCTTCATGTTTGATAGAGTACATCCCCCATCCATTTTACTCAGCTTTTCAATTCTCAGTTAAGGACAGGACCATAATGGGTCTTGGGACCAGGCTGAAAGTTTGGAGAAAGAGGATTAAGCACAGCTCTCCACAAAATGGTACCAATTACAGAGGATGGGACCTGCTTGAATGAATTCTGACCAGAAATTATGATTCATAAAATAACTTTATTCACTTAAGTTATGGCCTAGCTAACCCACATTCCTGTTCTCTCTTCCTGAAGTATCCATGACAAAGTATTATGATTGCAATTCTATTTTAAATGCAATTTTTCTCTCTTGAGGACTGTCTAATACTTATGGGCACGGAAAAGGTTATTCTCAACCTGAAATTTCACATGTAACTATTAAGTAGATGGAAAGTTTAAAAAGAAAATTGGTAGTTAATCCATCAAGTCATTTATCAGTTATGGGACTTAAAATACATCAATTTTCTGTTCACCAGTAACTAAGAGCTTTGATTCAGTATGTCAAACTGATTTTACAGATTACTCTGTAATGTAATTTCATACAGGGAGCTATTTTAAACTTGCCAGAGTCTCTCCAGCTTTTGAGTACATGGGTATCATAACGACTATTTGACATCCTGTGTTCTTTGTGAAAGCCAGGCTTACGACATTTACAAAGTCCCTAAACCCTGCCAATGAAGCTTACAATGTCTGTAAATATTGGCAAAAGTGCTTATAGACCTCACAGACAGTTACGTCTTTGCTCCTTGCCCTTGTTGCTTTCAAGGACTCCAGACCGATAAAAGATCAAAGAAATCACAGGCTCTGCAACCTCAACACAGACATTTTGAAAATCATGCAAGCTTAAAAGTACTTGTTTGCTGCAAAAATCTATTGATGTTGCAAACAAACTCTCTATATTCCATGAGATGAATAAAGCCAGTATCTGAATCTAATTGGCTCTCTCCTAAAATGAAGATTTGCCCATTCTGATGCATAGATCCTTTAGAAAAAAAAATTTAGGTAGAAATTCTAACATCAAAACTTTCTTCACTCATCCTACTTGAGTGTAATCTGCAACGAAAAAATAGTGACACTTTTCTAGTACCTTTGTGCTAATCAACTTCTCCCAAACATTATGGGCGAAAGATCTTTAAGAAAAACTGCTACTGCCATTATTTCTTTACCAGTTGCACACAAAAACTTTGAGCTTCCAGAAGTTCCATGCCGAGAAGGAGACTTCTGTACAACGTATTTTTAAAAAAGAATATGCAAGCTAACATAAGGTATGCTAACTATGTGAAAAGTCCTACATTTAGGAAATCAGTTCCAAGGAAACATAATGCACAGAAAGATCAGTATGTGAAGATTTCCAGAGATTTTCCCAGAGGAAGCAGATTGCTCTTGAAGAACAGGTATTCCTTCAGAGATCATTGCAACACAGAGCTGACCTACTTTTTCTTGCAATGGACTGGTGTCAAATTCATATTCTTATTTTCCTTTAAAAAAAATGTAACAAATAAAGCTCTATAGATACTCATGGATCATCAATAAATCTATAGGTTGAGGAAAAATGGGTAGTTGCATCATAGTTCCAATTACATCATCTTACAAAAGGAGAGTTTTTGTTCCTGCACTGAATTTAAGTCTTCCTTTTATTCCTGAACACTTTCCGCTACATCATGGCACACACAGTCAGCTATCATACACGCATCCAAGACTAGACTTACAGGTAACGTGGGACAGTCGACAAATGGCATTACACCTTCACTCTATCCAGCAAAATGAGTGTCCCAGTAAATTTGTTTATGGCAGAATTGTTCAGAGCCCTAGACTGCAGGTGTAGACAGAACACTAACCCTACCCCAAACTTTCACTAGTGACTTGTAGCTTCACAACTGGAACTTTAAATATTTTTTAAAATATTTATTTTAAATATTTAAAATATTTACAGTTGTGTATCTGATATGGGTCAAAAAAAATAAATAAAGGTGATTTATTGAAAAGTGTCTTTTCCTCTCAG